TGTAACATTCAAAATACCAGAAAATGTCATTGGTTAATGCAAACATTAAGAATTAAAATTATTAATTAAATGAGGATAATATGGTAAATTCACACTTTAAAAAAAATTAAATTAAAAGAAAAATTAGATAATAGATCCTATTTTTACATAACATACTACCCATTATCTTTTTAATTCTAAAAAAAAAAATTCTATTTAAAAGGCCTCTTGCAGGCGCGGAAGCACGTGCAGAGAGACTAATATATATATATATAGAGATTTTCTATTTATACCACACGCTTCTCTTTGTTCACCCCAATACTTAAATCATTAAGCTGTAAGTTTTATTATTGTGTAAAAAGACAAAAAAGGTAATCTAACTTAATACTTAACTCTAGTACATCTATACACACACCCCATACACCCCACCACTCTTCATATTAAGTTTTAGAAAAATACAAACTCTTCTACATCGTATTGCCAGAGACGTAGAACATTAAAGAGCATGTCTCTTTAAAATCTACATGGAAGCTAATAGAAAGACTTGTTAATTGTTTGGCTGTAATGATCTTATTCTCTTTCCTTTGTTGATTGCTTTTGTTTTTTTGTTTTTTATTTTTTTAAAATACCTAATGTTTTGGTAAAGCTGTTCTCTTTCTCTAGAAAATATTAAATTTCGGATTTGCGTTTGTTTGTGTTTTTTTTTCCTGCTAGGAACAGTAATATTATTATTAATTTTGGCATTTCAGTGTGCATATAAAATCATAATCTTATTGCTGCAACTTCAATAGTTGGGTAATTTTTCTTGTTTCTTTTCCACTATGATAAAAGCTTCAATGTATTCTCCATTAATGGCCGATCAGATGGCCTACTCCTAGTGCAAAGTGTAGCACCTCAAGTACCAGTTTTATCTCCTCTCGCATCGGAACGTTCGTACCAACTTCATTCTCATTGTAAATTTCTCTCATAACAACTTCCCTTACTTATCTGTATGCTTGCTCTTGACTTCATCAACCTGCCATTGCTTAAAATTTCCAGCATGATCTCCCCAAAGCTGTATACATTCCTCCTCTAAGGGTAGTTTGTGGGGTTTAAATAGAAAATTTCTTTTCTTTCTTATTTTTTCAGATTGGGGTGTATTTAATGGTAGTTTGGGAGGATATTGGAGTTTTCTTAGAAATTGTGAAATTTTAAATTAAAAGTTGGGGTGAACTTAGAACATAGGGTGAACTAAAATAAGTGTGGGGTTTAAATAGAAAATCTCTTTCTCTCTCTCTCTCTCTATTAGCTGGGTATGAGTTAAAAGAGTTTTTGTTTGTTGGATAATCTTTATATTGGCCCATAGGAGAAAGTTTTTAAATAATTGGCCTTCTAAGCCCATTAAAACCCACCAAACATGAAGAGGCAGCCAATTACTGAACAATGTTGGCGAAAAAAAAGTTTTGAACACCGAACCTAAGCTCAGTCGCGCGAAGAAGGTTCAACAGACGAGGTTGCAGAAGGAGGTGAACGATTTTGGGTGGCTGATTGACGAATTGAAGGTGTTGATGGATTCGGACAATGCAGATGTGAATCTCAAGGACGATTTGGATCTGATTGAGGAATTTGGGAACGATTTGCATCTGATATGAAGAATCTGATTCAGGAAGCTGATGAAATCTGGGAATTGTAAGGTAAGAAAATTATGCACCATCAAAGTAGGCATTGTCTTCTTCGCCAGGTTGTAATTTCAGATTAATTGTCACACATTTTGCTTGTGATTTTCTCAAGCAAACCTGAGTTTGTACTTCCTGCTTAAAAATCATGTTCTATCTTTTTTCTTTTTCCCCAATTTCACTGTTATATATGTGTTTGTTTAACTTTAAAAATGTCTCCTACATACACCCATCTGGATAGGATTAATTCCTGGAAGAAAAAAAAAGAACAGAAGATGTGAAGAACTTACTCATTTTAGTTTCGTATAAAAGGGAACATCATTTCTATTTTGGTATAGGGCCTCCTGTATCTTACTACTGGCACTGACCACGATTTCTTACTAAGGTTTGTAGCTTGCATTTTTCTGTAAATAATTTAGAAATTGAATTTGTTTAGTTAATTGCCAGACCAAATATACTTTGCTGCAATTGATTGATTTGTTGCTCCCATGAGATTCTGAATTATATATCCTATGTTTTTCATTGTTTCGAACTTTATGTTTATCAGTAACTGCTTATGGAAAAATTTGCCCCATATTTATTGGCAACCACAATTGCCTTATAGCTTACATATTGTTTTCTAACATTTCAGTGTAATGAAGAATAGTGAGAGTGTAGACCACTGATGGCCAAAGAATAGAGAAGCTACTATAGTCTATAATATCTTCTTACAAACTTATATAACATCGTTCTTCTTAAGACATCAACTCCTTGCTTCTTTCTATGTTAAACCATCTCCATCATGCACTAAGACACTTTCATTTGGTTCCGCTACTCTTATGCAGAAAACATTATTACACTCCAAGCCAGATCCTGTCTTTCTCTACCACCACAACGCCATGCACACATGCCTCACCAACTTACCCTCATACCGACATCCTCACACTCAGCTCCAATGTCCAAACCCTTCACCAAACCAAGCAAGTCCATGCTTCTGCTCTCCTCAATGGTTTACTTCCCCACAGTGTCTCTCTCTGTGCCTCCCTCATGCTCAGTTACGCCACTTTCAAATACCCGGAAACCTCTCACCATCTCTTCGAACAAACAGTTCATCGTTGTCGCACTGCTTTCTTGTGGAACACCCTCATACGGGCTTATTCCATTGCTCAAGTTAATGATAATTTTCAGACTTACAATCGAATGGTTCGAAGCGGTGTTGGACTCGATGATCATACTTTTCCTTTCGTTCTCAAAGTGTGTTCAGACCTTTTGGAGGTAAAAAAAGGGATGGAGATTCATGGGGTTGTGTTTAAAGTGGGCTTTGATTTTGATATTTTCGTTGGAAATACACTTTTAATGTTATATGGTAGTTGTGGGGATATGAGAGATGCAAAGAGGGTGTTTGATGAAATGCGTGAAAGGGATGTTATCTCATGGAATACGGTTATTGGAGTGTTTACAGCCAATGGGTTTTTCATGCAGGCACTTCATTATTATAGAGAGATGAATTTGGGAATTGGGTTTAAGCCAAATCTTGTTAGTGTCATTAGTGTGTTGCCGGTTTGTGCAGAGTTGGAAGATGAGCAGATGGCGATCCAGATTCATTGCTATGTTGTGAAGGCTGGTTTGGATCTTCTGGTCACTACTGGAAATGCATTGGTTGATGTGTACGGGAAATGTGGGAATGTGAAAGCTTCAAAACATGTTTTTGGTGAGATGATTCAGAAGAATGAGGTTTCTTGGAATGCTACTATCACTAGTCTCTCTTACATGGGGCATAACATGGAAGCCTTGGCTACATTTAGATGGATGATTGATGTAGGGATGAAACCAAACTCTGTCACAATTTCTAGCATGCTACCAGTGTTGGTTGAACTTGCATTTTTTGGAGTTGGCAAAGAACTCCATGGTTTCAGTATGAGAATGGGTATTGAATCGGATGTCTTCATTGCCAACTCACTAATTGATATGTATGCAAAATCAGGCCGTTCAAATGAGGCATCCAATGTTTTCCAAGATATGGATAAAAGGAATATTGTTTCCTGGAATGCTATGATTGCTAATTTTGGTCAAAACAGGCTTGAGTTGGAAGCCATTGGACTTGTGAGACAAATGCAAGGTCATGGTGAAATTCCCAACTCTGTCACCTTCACAAATCTTCTTCCAGCATGTGCTCGGTTGGGTTCCCTTCGTTATGGAAAAGAAATCCATGCAAGGACAGTCCGCATGCTATATGCCTCCGATTTGTTTGTCTCCAATGCTCTGACAGACATGTACGCAAAATGTGGCCGGCTAGATCTTGCTCGGAATGTATTTAACATCTCCCTCAGGGATGAGGTGTCTTATAATATACTAATAATTGGCTATTCTCAAACTACGGATTGCTTAGAGTCTCTGAATTTGTTTTCTGAAATGAAGCTTGTGGGAATGATTCATGACATTGTTTCCTTTGTGGGAGTTATATCAGCTTGCGCAAATGTAACTGCAATCAAGCAAGGCAAAGAGATTCATGGGTCATTAGTAAGAAAGCTTTTCCATACTCATCTATTTGTTGCAAACTCACTTTTGGATTTTTATACCAAATGCGGACGAATTGATCTTGCTGCTAAGGTCTTTGACCGCATTCCAAGCAAGGATGTAGCCTCTTGGAATACTATGATTTTGGGGTATGGAATGCTAGGTGAGCTTAACACTGCAATCAGTCTTTTTGAAGCAATGAGGGAAGACGGTGTAGAATACGATTCAGTTTCCTATATTGCAGTTTTGTCATCTTGTAGTCATGGAGGGCTGGTTGAGAAGGGGAAAAATTATTTTGAGGGAATGCAGGCACTGAATATAGAGCCGACAGAAAAGCACTATGCTTGCATGGTTGATCTCCTTGGCCGAGCTGGCCTTATGGAAGAAGCAGTAGAGCTTATTAAAGGCATGCCCATTGTACCAGATGCCAATATTTGGGGTGCCTTGCTTGGAGCATGCCGAATCCATGGGAACGTAGAGTTGGCTAGTTGGGCAGCAGACCATTTGTTCAGGTTGAACCCTGAGCATTGTGGGTACTATATACTTCTTTCAAACATGTATGCAGAAGCTGGGAGATGGGATGAGGTAAACAGGGTGAGGGAACTGATGAAATCAAGAGGAGTGAAGAAGAACCGTGCTTGCAGTTGGGTTCAGGTTCAGGACCAGATGCATGCTTTTGCAGTTGGAGAGAGTCTGGAGACATTAAATTCAGATAGTTGGATCGCAGAATCTTAATATGTTTTTGACATTCAAATTAAAGTTTGACGGATTGTGCTGAGAGGATAGCAATTTAAACTTTCAAAAGGAGTTCAATTCCATCCAAAGATGCTTCATCAGCTCCACCTCCAAAAATCAACATCCAAAATTTTGTGGGATCACACACTTCAGAGACATAGAGAGAAAGAATGGCGACTCTTAGAGTACCAGATGTGGTTCCTTCTTCAGTGGAAGATGCTGAACAACTTCAGAAAGCTTTTGAAGGTCTTTTACTGATCACATCTTCTAAGACTCAGACTAAATTAACGCAATCATTGGAGCAAATGAAATTTGACAATTTGGTGTTTTCTTTGGAGCAAATGAAATTTGATCATTTGGTGTTTGACATGACTTTGTTTTCTGATGTGGCTGATCATCTAAAGTTAGTTTGATCCATCTGCTTCCATATTGTTCTACTTTGTAAGTATGTGTTCTATGGGTTCTTATAATGTGATAATGACCAGGATTTGTTTCTTTCTCTGTGATTTTTTCTTCAATTAGTAAGTTAACATCAGTTTTGTTGAATGAAAGTTTAGATCTAGATCTGTTGTGATTATCTTGTTGAGGTTCACTATTGACTAGCAAGTATTTGATGTTTAACATGTCTTCTTATAATCTGATATGTGTGATCATCTAAAGTTTGATCTGCTTTCATGTTCTCTTACTTTGTATGTATCTGTTTTCTGGGTTTTTTGTAAGTATTTGTTTCCTTCTCTTTGATTATTGTTTGAATTTCTTGGGATCATTTTTGTTGGATCAGAGTATTAGATCTATATCTTTTTTTAAAAAAAATTATCTTATTGTGTCAGTTTGAGTTTCACTATTGACTAACAAAAATTAACAAATACTTCAACTAATATTCCTGTTTATTTACTCCAATCATTATGAGCAATTACAAGGCCTTGGTGCTAAAGTAAACTACTTTAATCTTGACTAGTTCATTACTCTGGAATTTATTGCTAATATAAAAGAGACAAGAACTGGTAGTTGAAATCCTTATCTGATTCATTGACATCCATCCTAAGCTTTTCATTAGGTCCAATTCTTTTATATGGAATTTGCACAAATTTCCATTTACATGAAGGGGTCATCAATGAAAACGGAGTTGGGAGAACATGTGATGAAGAAGAAAACCAATGCTCGATGTCATAGACCAATTTGAATACTTGGCATCTAGTTGCACATCGAGGCATTAACCAAAACTTCTCATATTAGGGATAGAGGTTGAAGATTTGTTGCATTATCAAGGCACTTTTATGGTTATATTCTGTATTATCAACTTTATTTTTGTAATTTGTGTGCAGGATGGGTGACAAATAAGGCGTTGATCATATCGATACTGACTCACAGGATGCAGCTCAGAGAAAATTAATTCAGCAGACATGCAGAAATTTATGGGGAAGAGCTTCTTAAGTCACTGGACAAAGAGCTCTCAAGTGTTTTTGAGGTCAGATTTAGATGCATTATATCTTTCAGTTGAATACTGGTTTGGTTTTACTTTGAATTTTGTTTTCAAAGGTTTACTGCTTGAATTTCCTATTTTGCTGCATAACCAGAGGGCTGTGCTGCTGTGGACACTGGTCCCTGCTGAGCGTGATGCATTTTTAGCTAATGAAGCTTCAAAGAGTTTCACTTCAAGCAATAAATTGCTCTTGGAAATAGCTACTTCTAGGTCTTCTCATGATCTGTTGCTGGTAAAGCAGGCGTATCATGTGCGTTACAAGAAATCCCTTGAAGAAGATGTTGCATACCATACATCTAGAGACTTGCTCAAGGTAGAAACCTTCAACCTCCAAACTCATTCTTAATCTGATTGGGCTCTCAAATGTCAAGTTGGCTAGTTGAAACCATATCTTCTTGATCTTCTATTGGTATCCAATTTCTTGTATTGAATTGGAAGTGAGTTGTTCAAACATCTTCAACTACATTGCTGTCTAGATTTTCTTTTTTCTTGCTTTGCTCTGATTGTTGACTCTGTCATAGCTTTTGGTTCCTCTTTTGAGCACTTACCGATACGAGGGAGATGAGATCAGCGTGCCCTTGGCAAAGAAAGAGGCTAAGATACTTAATGAGAAAATCTCAGACAAAGCCTACGATGATGTGGAGCTCATCAGGATCCTCTCTGCAGGAGTAAAGCACAGCTGATGCAACCTTGAATCACAACAACAATGAGTTTGGCAATGCCATTAACAAGGATTTGAAGGCTGATAAAGATGACGAGTTCCTCCAGTTACTGAGGCAAACAATTACAAGCTTGACCGTCTCTGAAAAAAACTATGAGAAGGTTCTGTGCCTGGCTATCAAGAAGCTTGGGATGGACGAAGGGGCTCTTACTAGGGTTGTTACCACCCGCGCAGAGGTTGACTTGCATAGCATTAAGCAAGAATATCATCGCAGGATCAGTGTTCCTTTGGACCAGGAAATTGTCAAAGACACTTCTGGAGACTACGAGAAGTTTCTTGTAGAACTGGTTGGACATGGTGATGCTTGAATCCCACAATGATTTCTTCCATGAGTTGTTATCTTTCCTTCATTGGATGATTCTTCTTCTTTTTATGGTTGTGTGGACTTTGTTCAATAAATCTTGCTAGTGCTGTGAGTAAAGTATGGATGGACTTATTTTATATAATTTGTGCATCTTCTTTTGTGTTTTTGCAAAAGGAGTTGTTTTTGTGTTCTTTATATGATAATGTTGGACTTCTTTTTTTCCCTTCGTTTTTCCTTTTCATATTTGATTTTGCTTAAATTACACCTTTTGACCAAGTGAACAAGAAGCTCTCTCAAGTGGCCTCCATGGTAAATGCTTTCTTTCTTAGCCCTGCATCGAGGTTGAGGTGCAAAACCAAAATCTCTTTCAAAAACTAGCACCTTAGGCTTTGAGGTTGGGTTGAAGCCGTGAAACATCATCAATGATGAAGATAACATCCTGGCTCATAACAAGGTCTCGAGTCTTGACACAAGCTGATGCTGCTCCGAGCTTTTCAAGCACAATAATATTCTCAATTAAACCACTCTCACTAAACAGCACTCATAGTTGGTGCACGACTATGTGTGGAAACTGCTGAGGTTATCAATCTTCTTTTAATCCTCATTTTCGTTTCATTCACCTATTCTATATAACCACACATCACATTCCAATCCCAAAACCCGGATCTAAGGCCTCTCAACTTTGACCCGACAACGCAACTTTGGTGTTCAACCTTGTACCCAGTCCAAATTCCTCAGACCAAAAAAAAAAAGGTCCAAATTCCGGTACCCTTGAAATGGCATCGGGACCTCTATGCCCTAAATTCACCTTTAGTTCATTCTAACTCTGAAAAAAATCTGTAGGCTTTATAACATTCACTTTCATTTAATAAGCTCAAAAATGAAATTATGATATGGGACTCACCACCTTGAGCAAGTGGCCCACTTTGTTACTCGTCAAGGACTCTGCAATAATTTTCAAATTCACACACATGACACTGGCATGTTTACTAATCCGTAATCGTATTAGGAGGAATTGAATCGAGGATGAATTAAATTTAAGAGAATTAGATTCTGGATCCCTATTGAAGTTGTTTACTAAAGCATATGGATTGAGGAGAGTCAAATTCCGAATTCCTATTAAAATTGTGTACTAACCATATGAAATTGGGGTAATAGTGGCATTAAATACTAGAATGTTCTTGTTGTTAGGTTAAAATAGATGATAAATTTTAAAATTTTAAAATTGTGTGAGGATATAATGGGTAAAAAAAAAAAATTCCTAATCTAATGAGTTAATTCTCCATGAATTAGAATACCACATCTCACAGAAAAAGAATTGAATTCCTCCAAAATAAGAAATTCCATTCCTAATTTTGTGTAAACCCCACTTACTTTTTAATTCTTTGATGTAAAGTAAACACATGAATTCTCATAATTGGATTCAATTCCTGATTAGCAAACACACCAAAAATAACAAAAACTAAAAACTAAACAATTTATAAATAAAAAATTATTTGGAAACTGAGAATAGTTACCAAACAAGTTTCCTGGCTTCAACTTTTTACAAATGAAACTAGTTTCTTGGTTTCAACTTTTTGCAAATGAAAACTAAAATGGTTATCAAAAGGGATATCTCTTATTCACCCTTTTCAACCAATATCAAAATCTTCAGACCAAAAAAATAAAATCCATTTCAAAATCAAGATTTGATCCAGGTTTTTCTTGGCATCAAAGGACCAAACAGACAGAAGAAAAGTGCAAGTTCCCTAAATTATCATCTAATTTATAAATAAAATGGGTCCTGGAACAAAGTAAACACAAACTTGATACAACCAAGATACATAAACATGTTTGTAATAACCCAACTAGCCGAACCTCCTGCATTTTTCTGACTACATTTCATGCCCTAACGATGTATATAATAAATGTATCGCTACCACTCAGTCTCACACCCGCCACTTCAGAACCCAAAATGGCATGAAGGGTTTACATGTCAGAACACAGAGTTCACACTAGGATATGACGAGACCAACATTTATTTGATGATAAAGCAGAGTAAACAAGTAAAAGATTATGAGTTACACCAAGGCAATGCTGCTCTCTCCACCAGGGGGCTTGCGAACACCACCCAGATAGTCTCTGGATGATGCCTTTCCATCAGCAAAGATGTCGCTACCGTTCATCTCTCTCAGCTTAGCCGTGCTTAGGGGCTTTTCAGCAGATCCTGGAGGTTCCTTAAATATATTATTTCCTGTCAGCTCAGCGAACTTCTGGTTATGTATTTTCCTTGAAGTCTTGACAACAGGTTCCTCACTGAACATGATATTACTCTGACCTCCAGCAGGCTGCATTACCGAAATGAATTCAATACTAAATTTAAGGAAAATATTAATTTGCTAATTAGTCTAGCATTATTCGGCAGAGTAATATCAACTTCGATTACGTGAAAAAGTTCTCCAGTAGGCTATGTTGCTAGGCTATCACTTCAGACCATTGATCTAATGGATTCTTGTTAGGGCACCCGGTCCAAATTAACAGTT